AACGATGAGTCAAACAGCACAGGAAGAGTGGAGGAACCACTATCCTGGGATGTTTCCGTAAATATGGAAGCCTGCGTGTCTCTTGTGTGGAGAGAGTGTGTGTGTGTGTGTGTGTATGTACGCGTATTTAAGTGTGTGTGTGTCTGTGTCGCTGTTGTCTCTTTTATACCATTTGAGTGGAAAAATCAATTCCAGGATATCGCTCGAACCTGGTCGGTGTTGCTGCTCTCGTTGCTGGTACTTCTGCATTGCGGATGTCATCGGCTTTATATCGGGCCTTATGTCGCACCGGCGATAAGGTACATTATCTTCTTCATTTCTGCACGGTACTCGGAGCACATTGACGAGAGGTTGCCGATTTGCGTGCACGTGTGTGTATTCGTGCGTCTGTCGCCCACTTTCAACTCAGCAACCTGGGAAGCTGCATTCTTTGGAGCGTGTTTGCACTCCAGGTGCGATGCTCCATTTTTAAAATCATCTTTCACGTTTGCTTGGGTCTCACTACGAACGCCTAAAAAAATTTATGTGAGTTTTTTGGCGGGAAAAAGACTTCGATGACGAGAAGGATAGGAGGCTGAGAATTCACAAAATGTCCTTGGCCCTTGTGCAAGCTAAAGATTTCAAATTCAGCTTGAAGGTACACCTGCGTTATGTGTGTGACACGTGAAAATTACTGTTTCGTAATGGCAGGCAAAATGCCAGCTCGGGAAGTAGTTTGAGTGAGCCCCTCTAATCTTATGAGAATAATTGGTTCTGTGTAAAAATTTGTTAACGTGTAATGAGCACTCATATACGCCTGCAGCATGTTAAATTAGTTTTGGCGAGAAAACGATTTTGGGAGCCAGTTGAGCCAGGAAGTTGAAATTTTTTGTGGTAAAAGTTGTTCTGAAAATTTTTTTTTTGCTAATTTCTTTCGTACGCTTTCAACTTGTTATCCTGTGGCATTTCTTGCTCTTAAAGATGGTTTTGAAAAATCTGTTTTTGTACTTGATTTTATCTTTTCCGGACAATTGCTGTAAGCTTAAGTTGATCCAGAAAATACCGTAGGCAGCGGCAGATTTCTTGTGAGTCCGTGTAGTGTTAGTGTTAGTGTTAATTCTTGCAGATTGTTTATCCGCTTCTGCCACCATTTGCTAAAACAGTTTGGAATCATGAAGCTGGCCCCAAAACTGTGTTTTTCTGGGCACCAACAATCAAATGGTGCCTCGTTTTGGCCGGTATCGCCGATTTGAAAAGGCCAGCTGAAAAGCTTAGTGCTTATCAGGTACCATTCGTTTTTGATTCGTTATCATCTTCCTTAATTTCGTTCATTATTCCTTTTTGGTTAACTCGTTGATTTCGTGATATTTTTTTGCTGGAAACAGATCATAGTCATAGTGACCATATTGTTTTTCGTCACTGCCATAAGATCGTACTTAACGGTATAATGATATTGCGCCAAGTTTATGTTCCTTATTGTGGAAAAAATTTTATATGTTTTTCACAGGATAAAAAAATATGCGTTTTCTGCACTGCATAGCTGCAAAAAAGGCATAAAAACTAATAGGATGCCAGTTCATTTATAGTTCACATAAGACAGAACCTGTAAAAAAGGAACAGAATCTTTTCAATATCGCTGCTAAAGATACTGTTAATGTGTTCATTTATATTGCTCAAATTGCCTGGGCAATTGGTGTAGGAGTCAGGTGTTAATGATGTTACTAGGATGCAGTCATACGCTGACTGCATCCTAGTAACATCATTAACACCTGACCCCTATCCGATGATCAGTTGGACGTTTTGTATGTTGCTCCAAACTTCTAATAAATCTTTTACCAGAGAAACCTTGGGCAAATTCATTCCTTTGTAAATAGATGGGTCCGACGCTAGTGCTTCGATTATTCATAAAATGAGCTACAAACGCAGATTGTTCTTGGATCTAAATCGATAAAGGTACAGCATCGGTCATAGCAATTAGAAAAAGTTACGGAAATTGGAAAAAGCAGTTGGAATCA